GGAGAGCATATGCGTATTCTTTTTACTGCACGCGCTTTTTTAAGTTACTGGGTTTTGCTTCCCCCAAGGGAAGACTTTTTATTTTTTAAGGCCCAAAGAGGCTGAAAATTATATATTAAAAAAATGAATAGCGAGGTCATAGAAAGCTAGATGAGCCGACCAATACAACTCTTGAAGTCTTATGGTAAAGTGAAACAGATTATAATATTTATTGTTTTTCTTTTTTAAGTGAAAAGCGAGTTAATTAAATTCAACCGGAAAAATTCTAAGTACTATGGCCAAGTCGTGTTTCAAAACACTGATAAAACTTATAAAGTTTATATAAACGTATTTACTCATTGATTTAGTTAAAACAAAAAAATATATGATTCTTTTTTTATATGTCGGAGTTCGATATTGGTTGAAACCAATGATTTAAAAAACGGATAGGTGATCGGGATCGGGCACCTCAAAAACCGATCCGGAACGACGAATCGGCGATCCGGATCGAGAATCGGCTGAATCAATCGGATTAAAGCTTCAAAAAAATCAGAAAAAATTATTAAAATTCATGATAAATGTTGTTTTTTAGGAATCCAATAAAAAATTAGGGTACTACATTATTAACTTTCATTTTTTTTATCAATTTGTGAATATTGAGATGTTTTTGCCCTATATAAATTTATTTTAACTATTAAATTTGCATCACATAAAAGAAAAATCATAGAATTATCATGGATAAAATATTTATATATGGATGATTATAAAGAGTACACTAATCAATGAAAGAATGGCCATTAAAATCTCGTTTTGGCGAAAAACCCTAACCCGCTAAAAAAACCCAAACTATTACAGCCTAACAAACTATAATCCAAAATTATTACAACCTCACTAATTATAATATTATATACTGAAATTATAATTATTAGTTTATATTTTATAATTATTTTATTAGACAAATAATAACAAATTAAAAATATTTTATAATATTATCTAATTTAAAATGTATTATTGACAACTGTAAGAAAAATAGTATATTACATGATTTATAATGTAAAAATTCATAAATAAAATAAAAGATTTGGTTATCAATGTAAAACTTAATAAAATGCGTACAAATTTTAGAAATAACACTTCAATTTTTCAAAAATTTATTTTTTTAGGTTTCTATAATAAATTTAGTAAAAGATATTGTTAGTAGAAAGATGGAGAATAAGCTTTTTATTTTTATTTTTTTTATACGTTTCATATTATTTACAAAAATAATTATATCACTATATACAACAAAAATTAACGGTTATATAAAACATTAATTTTTTTATTTTTCATTTTTTTATGTCTTTTATATTATTTACAAAAATATTTATATTTATACCAACCACTATATACACAACAAAAATGCAACACATGCCCAAGGGGATTCAAATGCAACACATGCCCAAGGGGGTGCCCAAGGGGATTCGACCTTGGGAGGTCAAGTAAAAAATTCAAAGTCATAACCATCAAGCCATCTAACTACATGTGATTATAAATTACTGATTAATAGATTATATTTACATTTCGTTTTCATTTAATGATATTTGGGAATTATCCCACATCGAAAGATGGGTATTCAAATTTGATATATAAATACCTCTGCAATATGAATTATAAAATGTGTATAAAAATATTAGGGCAACCTCGCATGTGCTTGTGGACACACGTGGGCACCTGTGAGTGTATGTGGGGCACGTTCGCACGTGTGCCCGGATACACGTGTGTGCGTGGGGCATGCTCGCACGTGCGCCTGGATACACTTGTGTGCATGGGGCACGTGCGCCTGGATACACGTGTGTGCGTGGGGCATGCTCGCACGTGCGCCTGGATACACGTGTGTGCATGGGGCACGCTCGCACGTGCTCCCGGATACACGTGTGTGCGTGTGAGTGTGCGTGGCGCACGCTCGCACGTGCGCTCGGACACACGTGTGTGCGTGTGAGTGTGCGTGGCGCACGCTCGCACGTGCGCTCGGACACGTGTGCACGTGTGAGTGTGGGTGAGGCACGCTCGCACGTGCGCTCAGACACCCGTGTGCGCGTGTGAGTGTGCTGAGGCACGTTCGCACGTGCGTGTCATGTGTGAACCGGGCTGAACCGTATGGGAACCGACGGTTCCACTGTAGAACCCGGGCTGAACCGGATGGGAAGCGGTGGTTCCACTCTAGAACCGGGCTGAACCGGATGGGAACCAACGGTTCCACTCTAGAGCCGGGCGGTTCAAGGTTTTCGATTGGAACCGGCACGGGCACGCGTGTTTCCGAGTCAAACCGGGCGAGTCCGGTTCGACTCGCCGTTTTTTAAAACACTGGTTGAAACGGATTGTTCTTATCCAGCATCTCGTATCATATGTAGTTTTGCAATCATTTAAAATCTCAAGTAGAACTTCAGAAATTCTTGGCATCCATCAGCATTCACATTTACCTTTCAATTTCACTGGATCAAGGACTCAAACAATCATTTTCTCTTGGATTGATCTATGATAAGAATTTAGGACATGCTAAATATTTTCAGTTTATCTTTGTCCATAGATGAAGCGTATCTCATATCACTCTTGCTAGTTTTTCCTTGAGTAGAATGTATGACTAATTGATTCAACTGCAAATACATGTCTGATTTGAAGAAAAAATGATTCAAGTGTAAAATGGTTTTATTCTTGATGCAGATGAAAAGAAAAAATCATCCACATCAAGCATTATCATTATCGCGACAGTTATTCCAAGTGCAGCTCTTTTACTAGCCATATGCCTGTTTTGTATATATAGAAGAAAGACAAGACAAAAAGGTAGGCAGGTTTGTTGGATTAGTTCATTTGAAGTGATTTGAACTCCTTCATTCTTTAGTTAATCTCAAGAGAGGAGTAACTGGTGATAAATACCATGGTTCTATTCATTATTTCTTTAATGATGTTTGATTTGATAGGAAGGAATGATCAAAGCCATGTATCACTTAATCAGAACGAGAGATCAAATACTGGGGACAGAAGAGAACAAATCGAACATGGTGGTGTCGGAGGAGATGAAAATACGTCATTGCTTTTTCATTTAGATACCATTGTAGCATGCACTGACAATTTTTCTGATGCAAATAAGTTGGGAGAAGGGGGGTATGGTCCTGTATACAAGGTAAACTTGCTTCTTTGAGAAAGTCCTTCGCAGATTAGCTAGTTTTGTGATTTTCGTCAATAAAGAAAGGAAGATAATTCTTCACAGGGGAAGTTGCAAGATGGGAAAATGGTTGCAGTGAAACGACTTTCAAAGAATTCAGGACAGGGCTTAGAGGAGTTCAAGAATGAAGTCATCTTGATTGCCAAACTCCAACATAGGAATCTTGTGAGGCTCCTTGGATTTTGTTTCGAAAGACGGGAAAAACTTTTGGTTTATGAATACATGCCCAAAAAGAGCCTTGACACCATCTTATTTGGTTTGTATCCAAACTCTACATTGATTTTATGATGTTCATGCGTATATTTGCATGTATAAGAGGAAAAACTTAATGTAAGGCCTAGGCTTTAAATTTGTACCTCATATTTCATCGGAAATTGCAGTTTCGGCACTAGAAAACCCTCAAAGTGATCACCCGCAACCTTGACAATTTCAACTATGAAAGAAAATATAATAGATTGGAAGCCTTAAAACTGGTGTATTTTTGTGACAAATTATTTGGACCATCCATTTTCAAATGTTCACATATCCACTAGATTTGTGTTAATTTTGGGAAATTACATTTTGTAGCGGGGTTTTGAGTTACTGCTTTCCTTTCCCATCAGAAGACTTGGGATTTAAGCTAACCGCATCCCATGCTTTATGCTAACTGCGTCCTATATAAAATGTTGAAATAAGCATACATATGATTGAGACACAGAGACAACAAGCATATATTATTCACATGAAAAATATTGTGCAGATCCAGAAAAGCGCCAACAACTAGATTGGATGAAGCGCTTCAACATCATTGTGGGTATTGCCAAGGGGCTTCTTTATCTCCATGAAGACTCTCGACTAAGAATTATTCATCGCGATCTCAAGGCTGGCAATATTTTGCTGGATAATGATTTAAATCCTAAAATTTCAGACTTCGGAACAGCAAGACTTTTTGGAGGGGATGAAACTCAAGCCAATACCATCAATATTGTTGGAACATAGTAAGTAATCCATTCCTTTGTAATCTTAGTATTCAGGCAAACGGGCTCCCCATTATCTCAATCTAAGAAATTGTTGAAACCCAGCTCTCTCTCTCTCTCTCATTTACTTGCATCGTGATTAGTTGTAAGAAAGAATTGATCTCAAGTGAGAGAACGCAGGGGGGAAAGAGAGGGTGAGAGAGGTTTGGGACCCAGTGTTAAGTGAAGACATTGTTTTCTTCAGCGATTCAGTGTAGTGTCTTATTTTAGGATGTAGTAAAATTTCTGCATTCTCGCATTGCACACCCTTGATTAAGCATTTTATTCGTTTCTTCATTTGCTTATTTAGTTTTTCTTCAACATTGTGTTTGATTGCCTTTCTTCTTGTCATGTACATAGAATTTCTTTTTTCTTCACTTTGTTTTAAGTTCAGTGGGGATATGGGTCCCTACCCATAGTTGGAATAGAACTGAACCCTGATCACCTAGCCTTTAGCTCATTCCTACATGTACATATAATTTGCCTAATATTTTTTACTTGTATCCATATGCAGTGGTTACATGCCTCCCGAGTACATTTTGCAAGGGCATATCTCAGTGAAGACGGATATCTATAGTTTTGGAGTTTTGGTATTGGAAATTGTTTGCGGGAGAAAGAACAACCAGCCATCAGAAGGGAGTCAAGGACTAGTAGAATACGTAAACACAACATCTCTTCTACAAGGGCCACAATTTCTTAACTTGCAGGGGAAATATCATTTTAGGATGTCAAAATTCCTTATAAAACCATTAAGGGTGTCAATTAGTATTAGAGTTCTTTTTTCCCATACTATCATTTCACTCAATTTAGTATCAAAGTTCTTTTATCCCCATACCATCATTTCACTCAATTAGTATTAAAGTTCTTTTTTCCCCATACTATCATTTCACTCAAATACTGTCTCAATAAATATCTTCAAAAATGCCCAAATGGTTCCCATTCAGTGTCCCCAACCCCAAACAAGCAAGGGCATTCAGAAATTTGATCCACCTTGAACAAGTAGGGTACTCCCGTCATTCGGTTGGGGCCTCTTGGGTCGGTCAATTTGCTGAAGTTCCCTTGTTTATTTGAGGTTCAGAAACTTGAACATGGACAACAGAAACTAATGGTTCAAATGATACAGGCATGGCGGTTGTGGCGTGATGGGAGACCCATAGAGTTGATGGATCTATTTCTCGGTGAGACATGCCCAGGAAACCAAGTTCTGAGATGCATTCACATTGGGCTTCTTTGTGTTCAAGCAGATGCTGCAGAGAGGCCCCCTATTTCTTCAGTAGTTGCCATGTTGGGAAGTGATTCTTCGAGTCTTAGCTTGCCGATGCCCCCACCTATGGTTTTTGATGATAGAACCGTTACAGGGTCGGATGTATCTGCAAATTACACAGAAGACAACTCTGTAAATGAGGTCTCAATTACTACCTTCGATGGTCGCTAATCTTAAGCATTTGACATTAACTTTTCAACAGTGTGATAGAATGTCTCCTTGCTTTTTGTTTAAAATTTAGATTTTATGGTTATATTCTTTTTGTGAGTTTTTGAGTTTTTTTTAATATACCTTCTAAACTTATAAGGGAGAAGTTGAAACAAATGCTAGCAGCCTTGCGCATTTGGTGCTATTAAGTTTTTACTGCTTAAAAATTTTGATTTAAATGAAAATAGTGTTTGCATCTCAAAAACACTTTTTCCGCTTCTCAACATAGGCCCACATTAACTTAATATCAAAGACATAATTGTGAATGTATATTTACTTTCTATTATTGCTTGTACATATTAGACAAGTGATTCATGATGTACATTACTTTGTAGCCCCATAAATTTAAGGTCTTCTATGCAATTCTATAGATCTGAAAAATACAATTTCTCCTTCGTAGGGGCAGAGTCAGGTCTGGGTCCATCCTAGACGCGATTATGCTGTCGTGGCCTGGTAACAATCAACTGAAATACCGCTCTTTTGAAATCTGAGTACCACTTTATAATACCGGCCTGCAATACAACCCGCTTTCTCACAAGCACCCTAGATATTGAAACTGCCATCAGTCAAAACCGCCTTCTGTCAGATTTGTTAAATAAATAATAAATAAAAAACCTTATGTCAGATTTGTATTCATCTTTTATCAAAACCACATCAAAAAAAACAAAAAAACTACTCTGCAAAACTGCTCATTGAAGTCCAAAACCACAAAATAACTTTCCTCAAACTGTACCAGTCTAAAACCACTTTGAAACAGTTAAACCACTCTCAAACCGTAAGACCACACTGAAATAAAAAACCACTCTTAAACCACAAAACCACTTTGAAACTACAAAACCACTTTGAAACTGTACGGCTAGATCTGCAACGGCTGCCCATAAACCCTAGTATGGAGCCAGATACCATCACAGATCTGATTTCATCACTTTTTCGGTGGGTTGATTTGTTTTCATCACTTTTTCGGTGGGTTGTTGAAGGTTCCTCGTATTGATTTGAGGACCGTTCGGAGATCTCCACCTGATCTGAAGCACTCTCTGTCATAATACATATCGATTTGTTCCTCTATCATGTCATTATGTTCCTTGCATCTGTTGCCACTTTAATTTTGTTTGAGTTGTTTCTTTTGCTTCCTTGTCGTTCCTGTTTTTTTTTTGTGGTTTCTCTCTCTACACATGGTGTAACGTCTCTCTTACTCTCTCTTACAAAAGGGTGTGGTTTCCATAAGGTTGCAACCTTAAACAATTCATTTAAGGCGCACTTCCAAATTTTATCACAGCATATATTTTTGATGTAAAAATATTGTTAAAATTATCTCAAAATGTATTTTCATATCTAATTATAAAATTTTAAACTCAAAAAATGATTAAAATCAGGTAGATATATAAACATATGAAAATCTTGAAAATGGATGGTCTAGAAAATATGTTGGAAGATGCATCTTTTTTGGGACTCAAAATCCTTTCTTTTTCATAGTCATACATCTAGACATCGAGATTATCAATTAGAAGGTTTTTCAATATTAAAACAACACTTTTCCGATGGATTTTTGAGGTCGATCCGTGATTCTACATTTTAAGGTGGCAACCATTTATAGACTTTTCCCCTTACAAAAAAACCCTTTCTCATCAACTTTTTTTTTTTTTACCCCACCCTCTTTGCCCCCCTGCAGTTCTCGTTGGAGGGCGACAGAATGCGATTCCGTGATCCAGAGGTAGCGAATGCCACTCAAGTCAAAGTGCGCTCATCGCTTTAGAAAAGAGGTAATCTAAGCAAACCACGATAATAGAGAAAACTCTAATCACAAACATGCTAGATCTGAGCAAATTAAAACTGAAATTATATTTATACAAATACAACTAAGAGTATTACAATCGTTCAGGGCACCAAAGGCCCAAAATACAACAAATACATATTTTCAACACAAACAAAACCATGGTCCACGACCAACAAAACACATACAATCAAAAGGGTCTCCTTGGAAGATGCAGGTCTTCGACCACCAGAACGATCACCCAACCGATTGTTCTTGTCTTGTAGCTTCTACTCTACAAAGATAAAAAGTAAAAGAATGAGCTATAAAGCCCAATAAGTAGAATCAGATTCCATGTTTCACTACTATATCCGGCAAGGAGTCATGAGTAATTCTTTTCAGAGATAAGCAATAATAATCACACAGGCATTATTGAAAACACCTATCTGTCACATCTCATCAAAGTATCATAACGAATCACAAAAGCTACAAATTTGAACCAATACTATTGTGCATCAATATTAACATGTATTTAAACCAACTCACTCGCTAAATCACCTACTCCCAAAGTAGAGGCCATAGTCATTATGCCAAGCCAATCTCATTGCTTATGACCTCTACCATCCCTCAGGAGGGAAGGCAATGACAAGTGGGCATCCAACTTCGTAATGCCTTCACACACGCACACACACAATCCCCAGCGTGCTTTTGGAGTTTTCGATAGGCGGTTACCTTGCAAGACACTGTTATTACACAGAAATTTGGGGGGTGCGACCCTCCCATCACTCACTCTTCCTAACTCCCTTCCTATCATTGAGGAGTCAGGGAAACTGCTGGCACCAGCTGGCAATGCAATACGCTCAAAGCACACCACTGGATCATAGATCACTTAACACCTCATGGTCATGCAATACGCTTAAAGCATGCTAATCGTTACAAATCACAAAACATGTCAATCAGTCACATATCACAATAAGACATCACGATATCACATATCTCAATATGGTCATACAATACGCTCAAAGCATGCCAATCAGTCACATATCACAATAACACATCATGATATCACATCTCTCAGTATGGTGATGCAATACGCTCAAAGTATGTCAATCAGTCCCATATCACAATAACATATATCACGGTATCACATATCTCAACATGGTCATGCAATACGCTCAAAGCATGCTACTCAGTCACATATTACAATAACACATATCACGGTATCACATATCTCAGTATGGTCATGCAATATGCTCAAAGCATACCAATCAGTCACAATAGGACACACATCATAACAAAGCGTGTCACAACATCATGCACATTCATTTTCACATAGCACTTATCACTTGCACTTATCACTTGCACTTATCATATGCACTCACCGCGTCATCACATACCACAATTGGATGATCTATCATATTTGTAGTCTGATAGATCTGAGTCAGGCATATTCAATAAGCACTCACTCATTCATTAGCATTCATGTCTTTCATAAACATGCCTCATGAGCATCCGTTGTTTTGCAAGCAGTAGCATTCACTATTTCATAAGCATAACTGATTTCAACTATGCATAGTCAATAATATTTCATGAGAACATTTCATTTTACATCATAGGTATGTCATATTTCAATCATACTTATACTTAGTCAAGTATTCACTGATTTGTCATTGAGAATTGATTTGGGGCTAAATCAGGGGCGTTTTGGTCGACTAATTAACCATTACAACAAAATGGAAAGATTATGAAATTTTCTACATTCATAACAATGACATTGCTCTAGAAAAATAAACACTGCTTCTAAATCATAAAAAATCTTGATATGCTTCCGAAACCAATTTTATAATAGACAAACGTATCTTACAAATGGGTTGGTTTGAAAGCATTTAAACTTCATTTGGTCAGTCAAAAGCTCGTGCCATCAGAGGTCAATTTTTAAATTCTACTGAATTCTGCTAACAATGACATATCCCTCTTCACGAATGTATAACTTTCAATCTAAAAGAAATTTCGAAATAATTTCAACATGCAACTTTTAGTACACACATGGATCTTTAAGATGGTAATGGTTTGGGAGCATTTAGGCTTCGTTTGGTTAGTCAAAACTCGTGACAACAAAGATAACAGTTGTGAAATCCAGTGAAATCTGTTAACATTGACATATTTGCACAATTTGAAGTATAACTCATCATTTATGAAGAATTTGGACAAGGTTAAAATATAAACATCATAGTAGACACATGTATTAATCAAATGACAGTGACTTGGGAGTATTTGGACGTCATTTGACTGGTCAAAAGTGCATTTCAAAAATACGCATTTTCCTGGAATTTCGCAGCTTAAATGTGGCACACTACCAAAAGCACTTTGTAGCCTCCAATTCATGAGGAATCACAATATGAAACCTTCTCACCTAGAATTATAATCACTTAAGTATCATCCCACAAATTTTCCAAGGACAATAAGAGGGATTCAGTTGCCCAAGGTGTCATGCAATGAAGGCCCCAATTTTCTTGGAAAACAGGGCCCCCCCTTCTAACATAAGTTTTGCAACATACAACCACATGCCCCTGATAATTTCATCAAAATCTGTCTAGAACTTCATGCATTACACATTCATGCTTATATTTACAATCACACACTTATAACCTTACTTGGATTTCATGCTTAAATGAACTAACCAAAAACATCCATCACAAAACATGGAAGCATGGATATGAATCTACTCCATCACAAAACATGGAAGCATGGATATGAATCTACTTACTTGCAGCAAGGTTCTAAGTCCCCCACTCAGCTTCTCTTCAAGGTTAAGTCTTCACGGGTGGTTCTCAAGCTTGGAGGCTCAAAGGCCTAAGGGGTAGACGTGGGGGAGAGAGAGAAAGTGCAAACTCTTGAGAGAGTGATTGAAAGGGTATTTATAAGCAAAAAGAGGGGAGGGGCAGCAAACACATGCCAAGTGGCAGCAAGAGTAACAAGTGTCTTGAACATGGTGTCCAAGTGGCTGACAACTAGCCACAAGTGGCTCACATGCGGGCTTACATGGGCCACATGACCATATACTCATAGCAAAACACCCCCGACAGTAACATGTACGGCATGACCCCTCTTGCTACACGCACGACGGTAGCCCTCTCTCTCCTTCTTCTTCTTTCACTGCCGCGTGCCTTCCACTACCCCGCACCTTTCACAGTCGCGCGCTCTCTTACTATCACGCACACTCTCATTGTCATACGCACTCT